GCAGGCATTGTACCTGGCTGGTGGGGTCTCCGAGGAGGCTGCAGATGTGAGGAACGATTTTACTGAGCGTCAGACTCTGAGAGCCAAACCTGAAAGATCAAAACACAAAACTGACTAAAGTCAAGTAAAACTGGAGGTGAGCTCAAAGACACATGACATCATCAGTACGCTTCCTTTACTATGAATAAAACTTCCAGTTTGTGCTCTTTTATTTTGAAAATCACCCACACACTCATTTCTGCGTTTTTTAAAAGCAAAAACAACAAAAGCGTCTCTAGCTTCTCGCACGTGAAGGTTTGCAGCTTTTCTTTTATCCCATGAACCAGTTTTAGGTTTGAACTTTTGAAATAAAAATCAGATGTGACAGTTTTATATCTGAAGCTGTGATAAACCTCTCTGAATATTTCCTGAAACTTTAGAGCTAAATAAACAAACAAAGAGTTAACAGAGTCCCAAATATAAGCGCCAAACCTGCTGTTACATTATAAATCAGTTACTGCTTTCAATAATATTAATAACTTACACGTTTAAAGTTGAGATGAGACACAGGCAGAGTCCCTCTCTGGTCCTGTTGTTCTTGTGCTTGAATCCTCCCATCATTCGCTCCCACACATACTGAACACAGGGAGAAGACAGAGAGACATTAACATGTCACCTGTAACGTTATGGTGACGCTCTGTTGGAGGACGACCCAGTGGTGGATAATTCCAAACATGCAGGTGGAAATGTGAGTGTTAGACTAATTTACTTTTCTGTGAGTTTAAATTTGAATTTAAATGCCTGATGGCAAAATTTCTCCTGTGCCGTCTTGTTTCCCTGTAGTTTGCAGAGTTATGACACCAGATGTTATAGGTCAGCACCACCATGAGGTTATTATATCGTGCAAAACAGTTGTTTGAATGAAATATCAGCTCCCGAGATGCACTTAAATTCAACAAATGTTGATGGTAATTGAACATATTTCTGCTAAGGTGGATCTCCTGTGACCAAAGGTGTGAAAAAGGAGACAAGATGAAGAGTGAGTGTACCTGTGGGTTTGCAGCCTGGTCCATGATCTTCAGCAGAAGTGCCTGGTCCTGCTCTCGGACTTGATCCTTGGCGTCTCCCAGTCGATCGATAAGACTGGGCAGGACTGAAACAGGAAGCGAGAGTTGGTGTTTACAGCCTGCAGTGATATCACAGAGAAAGCAAAAACCTCCATGTTTGGATATTAACGCAGTGTTTCTCAAACTAGGAGAAATATAGAGAGAATCTAAGCTTTGGTCAGGAAAATAAAATCATCTGTTGAAGCTGAAACTGTGGGGTGTGAACTCTGAGAACTGAATCAATTTTCTTATTGCTGCACTCGTGTCATCTGATTATAGAGATGACTTCCATTACTTCCGTACAAGCACAGACAGTAAGTTAAGTGAAAGACTGAAAATAATGGCTGTGATATAAACATTAAGTCTACGGAGGATTATTAAAGTTTAAATAAGAGGAGCACAGAGTAAAATGGGATTAAAATCTGTGAGCCACATGAATGAAATCCTTCCTGTATCGGTGGTTTTATCATAGTAACAGTGAGGAATGGGAGGAACTGTCTAATGCAGACAAATAAATACATTTGAAATCAAAAGTACTTCCTCACAACACTTCAAAAATAACATAAAACGCGTGTTTGGCCACACTGTATCACGGAGTTTGGCTTAAAGTTTCAAATAATTTTTGTAGAGGTGAGCACGATGTGTGAGAAAACTAGTTAAAAACTAATTCTGCTGAACTCAAAGCCTTTAAAAAATAGTCTGTATTCAGAAAGACACAATTAGACAAACATGACACGTGTTCATGATGCTCAGCCTTTAAATACTAAAACTACAAAAGAACCAGTTAAACACAGGAGAAGACATGATGATGGACACAAACCCCTCTACTAGAAATAAGGTCACACATTTGGCTCTAACAGTCAGTCTGAGAAGCTGGTTCCTGTAAACTGTTTTTAACTGTTTGCAGTGTTTTCTCTTTTACTGATTCAAACTGTTGTGTGTTTAATGTGAGTAGCAGGCTCTTTTCTCTCTAACAGGTCTCACTATCACTTTATAAACCCTCTTGCTGGTGTCCTTCTATCACACACCATCGTGTAAATGTAAGAAAACACAGTTCTTTCATTTTTAAGTGTGTTTTTTTTTAATTGCAGTGTTTGATATTTTAGTATATGTAACTATCATTCCAGCCATTTCCTCCTATGAAAAACAATAAAGTAACATTAACCTTAAATAATAATATAAATTACATTTAATACACACATGTAGAGATTTGCAATGAAAACATAAAATAAAAGACACTCAAGGTGCATCAAAATGTAAATTAAATATTTTTAATTTGGCAAAAATGTAAAAAATACATATTTATATACACTTTGTAACATTTCTAAATATTTAATAAAATAACAGATTTTTTTAATGCACAAAGTCTTATTTTAGTATAAATACATCTATCTAAAACTAACAAAAACAGGTTAAAGTCATTTTTAAAAGTAAGCTGAAGCTCATGTTGTTGTACTGTTATTATGTGTGCAGTAAATAACGAGGAGAGGCTCACCAGTTCCAACCTGTGTCCTGAATCTCTCCTGCAGCCGGCTCACCAGAGCCGACAGGATATCCATCCCCAGTAAAACCACCTGAAACACACACACCATCACACGGGCGGTTAAACTGATCCACAGTGACTCCTCCTTCAGCGCCGGCAGCTCCACAGCGCCGCAGCAGCACAGTATTTGAATATGAGCCGCAAAGGCTTATGGGTAACACAGAAAGCAGCGGTTTCAGCTCTAAAAAGGTAGAAAAAGGCCGAATAAAGGCTGCTGGTGTATCTGTGATGTGAGCTAACAGTGTGAACTGCGGTCCTGTGCGCTGAAGCGTTGACCTGATTGTGAACCGTGAGTGTAGCCACTGTGTAGATCTTACTATCAGCGCTTCCGGGGACGAGAACATGACTTTCCTTGTCATGGGGTGGTTTGGGAAACTCAATGAACGCGTAGTGAGAGCTTCCCTGCTGACACCATATCAACACATACGCACCACCTGAACCGCGAGTTCAGACCACGGTGCAATTTTTGGAAACTCTCAACAACAGAGAGCGATTGAGCGTGACTAATGTAAGGGTGACTGAAATAAAACGACCGCCTCCGCTATGGTGCCATCTGCTGGACGGAGAGCGGAACGGCACTGACGTAGATATTTGAACGAGTTAATTACAATCTATTTTCATTGTATAACAACGCCATTCTTCTTCCAAGGACTTTATTTTAATTTATGAAGATACTTCGTTTTTATATATTCATTCTCAAATGTGTTACATATTTACCTGTAAGCTCTTATATACTTGGAGTGATATTCACTGAGCGTCTTTTAAATTTTATATAATTTAAAACAAACAAACAAACAAAATTATATATTTATATATAAAACATTTATATAAAATTATTAAACCAATTATTGTCTCAAAATTTCATGTTACTGACTCAAACTTTGGAGAAAATAACTTGAAATTTTGCATTATTAAGTCACACTTTTTAGATAATAACCCAAATTTTCATATTAGCTGTGGTTTGGTTTTGTTATTTCAACTAATGATTGTTTGCTTACTAATAAATCGACTGTGTATCTATAAAAGAGTAAAAGATGGGTGTTTTCACTGATTCTGACAAAAAATATTAAATACATCATGATGTTAGAAGTGACTCAAATGATTAACTGATAACAGTTTTTTTTCCTGCATATGAAATCTGTTGGTGTCCACTAAAGGAAAGCCACTGAGGTCACTTATTTTGGGGTAGGTCTCACTTACATAAAATACACCTTTGTTTATTAATTGTGCAATGAATTAATTGTGAAATATGAGGAAAATGCTTTGACATCTTATAACTAAGGTATTATAGACTCACTTTTATAACCGTATGCAGACTGATGGAGATTTGTGGTTCATTCTGAGTGGGAATAATCTGGATTAAGAAAAACACTTTCAGGTTTACAGGGATCTGTTTAAATTTTTCTTACTTACTGTCACATGTCTCCCGAATAAGAAGTGGGGATTCATATTAAACATTGCCAACACTTCAAATATGTAAACGCAATCCCAGAGAAGCTAAAGCTCAGGTTTCAGACTGCTCTGAACACTCAGTTTATCACAGTGTTTTCTACTCTCAGCTCCATATCATATCACAAAGAGCAGATATGTAGTCCAAAATATGACCTTTAACCTTTAGATCACCCAAAAACATCTGGACATGAGTATGTGAAGAAGGAGAATTGCTGCTTTTCGACATGATGATAAAGTGAATATCTTTGGATTTTGTGGTGACATTTGAATAATTCGACTACTACAAATAAAATGAGTGTTTCTGACATTTGATCCACTAAAGAGAGGAAGAAATCAATGTGGAGATGAATCTAAACATGTGTCCATTATTCATATCATCTTAAATCCCTCCCTCATGTTTAAGCACTTCACTTTTGCCATAAGAGGCTGCCCATAAGCAGCCTGTATTTACAGCTGGCTGGACAGCCTTTTAATTTACATCAGAGGCCTGTGATTGATTAACACGAGCCATTATCCTAACAGCTTGTGAAAGAGCCCTCCTCCATCCTTCACACTCAGCGCTGGAAGGTTTTAGTGCCCTGTTAACGGCAGCGACTGGCTGGAAGCTGAGTCTCTGTCAGACCTGCTGGCTCGCTCACACAGAGCAGGAAACTGGGCTAATGGGTGCTGGTAAATTAAGCTTGCCTCTGCCGTGCTCGCCTGGGAGCCTCGCCGTCCTCGTTACGGCCCCACAGACATCACCAGGACGGACAGGAGGCTGTGTTTCCAGGGCAGCGCGGGATGCAGCGATACGATTGGTCCGTATGTGTCTGCTGCTCTTACTACTGAGTGAAATGATGCCACACCAGACTCCAGTGAAAAATCCGGCATTTTAGTTAATAAGACTAAAAGTTCAGCAGCCGTTCAGGAGCTGTGATTCACATCAGAGGGTTTCCTTTGGTAGACAATGGTGCAAACATCTATTTTGTAAAACAGATGTTTATAAAAAAAACAAACCATCTGGTCTTCCACCAAAGCATTTTTACCATTGGGGGTTTCATTCACTGAATATTAACACCGTTTGTTTTGTTTTTTTTGTCTATCAGACAGGAAAAAACCTTCTATTAAATCAGGTAACACAGACTCTACCTATATCAGAAACAAATCCATAGATTTGTCCTGACTTCCTCCCCTCAACTCCAACTAGTCGTACTGTTAAAAGAGAGTTTTTCCTTCCCACTGTCGCCAAATGTTTGTTCATAGGGGGGCCGTTTGATTATTGGGGTTTTCGTTGTGTTATTATACGGTCTTTAACTAAATGTTGCTGGGAATTGCTGCTATATAAATAAAAGTGAACTTAACTGAACCCAACAAAAATACGACCATGAGAAGAACATATGTGAAGGAAACCTGAGAGACATTACAGAAGCCTCAGATATGTTGGACGGTTTGTTCCCACAGTCTGGCTTTGAGTTTTAAGGCATTTTTAATAAGTAATATTAGAAAAGAACTGGGTAGCTACATGTAGTTTGTATAAGAAGCAGAGCTGGTGAAAAATGGCAACAGTTGAGTAAATCCATCATCAGGGTCAGGAGCTCTGTAACTGTCCTTAGATGCTCTATGATTAATCGATTAATCAATTATGTGCTTTTATTCAGCATCTGTTTGGCTAAGTCTGGCACATTTACCTTTCTATCTGACCGGCGTGAAACACGAGGGTTCATTGACAGTTTCGTTTGTTTAAACTACACAAACTTAAACAGCAGATGGTTGTTTTTGTTTTATTTTGCATATTTGTGGAGTCAGCACGACTCTGATTCGTCCTCTCTGGCACCGCTGCATTAAAAAGTGACATCATCAGCCTAAAGCAGCTCTACATTACTGTGCACTACTCCCATCTCTATTGATTAACCAGCACCAGCGGCGGCGGCAGCAAACGTCCATGTACAGCATGCTAATCGAGCAGCACGGGGAACCGGGCTGACTGCAGCTGAAGGTAAACAGGCTGGTGGGTTATTCATCAGCTCTCAGACAGAGCAGCGCTCCACGAGGAGCTGCGGTAATTAGCATCGAGCGGTTTCAGGCTCAAACACACAAACGAGGTGGGAAATAAGAGGCAGGAAGACTTAAAGTACCACCTTAAAAAACGACAATAAAAGAAATCAGAATTCTGGACTCTATTTTCTTCTATTTAACAGAAAGGATGGTTAGATCTCCTTCAAATGGCACCGTACACTAACACAATCTGAAACCAAGAAGCACTGAAAACTGCTCAGCAGGCTTTCACCATCATTTTCAAAGCTTACCCCAAGAAGACTTTTGCATATCACTAAGTTGTTAATAACTTATCCTGGTCCTAAAATAACCAGAAATTCAACTCTTAACTTCAGTCATTTCTCAGGACATCAGCTGACATTACAAAGATGTGTCATTTGTCAACAGGAAGCCAAACATTACAACACATCTGGAGGGTAAAGATAACAGAATAAACACCACACTTGTATTTAGTGGGGCTTTGTTTGGCCAATTCTCTATTTAAAGCCATGTTATTACAGGTCGGTTTTAATATTTTTGGTTTCCACAGCTCAGGAATTCTCCACCTTCTCAGAAGGAATACAGTGGCTCTCATCGTGACTTAAACTGAGTGTTTCCTTCCCAAAACGACCAGCCATTCAGCTCTTCTTTTATTAAAGACACTCAGTGAGGGATGAGAAACCTAATGAAATGGTGTGTTACAGTTAACACACCCAGCCAACACTCTATATTAAGGGCACTTCTCCAGCCGAGTTTCACAACTAAATAAAAGCACCACTCCCTCTGTACTGCAACAGCTGAGGCTGAAGTGCTGTATTCACAAGCACGCTGACAGATGTGAGGACTGGGATCTTTTTTTTCTTTTTACCCCATCTCACCCTCCAGCTGCTGCTGCTCTGCTCACCTTGAAGTTGCTGGAATTGACCCAGGAGCTGGCCACGCAGTCCACCATCCTGTCCAGCATGCTCTGGTCCTGCTCCAGCTCCGGGGACCTCTCCTCATCCAGGATCAGCTCCATGACCTCCTGGCCCACCTGGAGCCTCTTCCCCAGGTCCTTCTGCGTCACCTGCTCCAGCAGGTACTCCATGCTCACCGCCTCCACCTCCTCCTCCATGGCTGCAGGAAGCAGACTCCCCCAGGTGGTCTTGTTTTCCCTCCTCGCTCCTCCTCACCTGTGGTCCAGCAGAGGTGTTACAGTTGGCAGGACCTGCAGCAGGATTCGTACACGGCGCTTGTGCTTAGGAGGCAGCTAATGTGGAAGAAGGAGAGAGCTCCAGGCTGTCCTGCTGCGGAGGGCTGTGCCCGGCATTGGGCTTCATTCTCCTGCACAGCTTTGCTGTGATTTAATGAGGGGGAGAACAAAAAAGGCGAGAATTAGAGCCAAGTTTCCACAACTATCACCTCCAGATTAAAAGACTCCAGCCTGCTGACCTCCAGATCCTAGCGTGGTCTTAGCAGTGCCTCTGTGCTTTCAGCTAACGGGCCGTTAAGGGGCGCTAACACAGGTGACCATTAAGTTAGGTGTCAGGACAGTTTAACTGAGCTGTTAGCTTCAGCTGCTAGCTCGCTGATAGCCTGCTTTCTATCCAAAAATACAGCCGAGCTGGTGCTAGCTATGCGGGGAAATTCAACCCTGTTCTCCCCGCAGGAGAGCCGTGAACGCCTCTAACCTGTCTCTCGGACTCCTGGCGGCTTAATTAACTAGTTATTAATTCAGCGACCGGCTGTAAATCCACTCACCGGATGGACTGACTCGTTCCCAGGGAAAAAAGTCAGAAGTGGCGATGCTGCCTCCGGCCACAAACTACCGTTACTTTCCTCCGTGGGGCTCGGCGATCACTTCCTCGCTGGTGAAATCTTAATCTTCTGGCAGCTCACGCCATCTCTGCGCTTCTAACCTCTCACCTCTCTAACTGACGAGCTGCCCGCTGCTAATGAAAAAGGGGAAGATTATTATTTGCCGTAGTAAATCAAATCATGACCCCTGCCAGACGCCGTAGAGTCCTGCAGCGAGTCGAGTGAAGCCGCATAGTCGCGACACCTCCCGGCAGAAGCGCGCAACTACAGCCGGGGGGCTCTCCCGTCAGCCTCAGGTGACCCCTTTTAAAAATTCAAGGTGTGCCTGTCAGAGTCAAGAGGTGTCATTTTCGTTTCTGGAGCAGGCCGGGCCCAACTTGGCTCCGAGATGACAACAAAAATTATTTTTTTATTTTTATGGTGAATGAGAAGTTAGAGAGAACTGAGTTTGGAGACCACTGCTTGTTGCAGATCTCAAAGGTTAGAGACAGGGCCTGCATTTTGATCCGGTTGTCTAAAAGTCTCAGAAGAAGTCACTATGCGCACTGTGAACGTAAGGGCTGTATATGTGCTGATTTCTTAGATTTGTTTGGCATATTTGTCACACTTGCATGTTTCAGATCATCAAGCAAATTTTAATATATTCTTTTTAAAAGATAAGCCAACTAAATATAAAATGCAGTTTTGAAATGATGATTTTATTTATATGGGGGGGAAAGCTATCCATATCTGGCCGTGTGTGAAAAAGAAATTCACTGCAAATCAGCTGTGATTAACCACATTTTTGGAAAACTGAGTTCAATTTGAATTAAAACAGAATGACAAAATGAGGCAGGCTAAAAGATTTGAAACAGCTACAGAAACAGCTGAGAAACAAAGTCACTGGCATCTATCAGTCTGGAAAAGTGTTAAAAAGCCATTTGTAAGGCTTCAGGAGTGCAGTGAACCAAATAAAGAGCCATTTTACACAAATGGAGTAAACTTGAAAGAGTTGTGAACCTTCCCAGGAGTGACCAGGTAACCAAAATTATTCCAAGAGTGCACTGATGACTCATCCAGGAGGTCACAGCAGAACCCAGAACAACATCTACAGAACTGCAGGGCTCACTTGTCTCAGTTAAGGTCAGAGTTCATGATTCAACAATAAGAAAGAGACTGGGCAAAAATACTCTGTGGACTGATGAGACAAAAGCCGATCTTGAAGATCCTCCACAGTGATGACTCATTGCTAGTTATCGCAAACACTTGATTGCTACCAAAAGTCACACAAGAACCATTAATGAGGTTTATAGGGCAATCACTTTTTCACACAGGGGCAGGTAGGTTTGGATAGCATTTTTCACTCAGTGAAGAAATGATTTTGTATTTACTTGTGTTATCTTTGTCTAGTGTTAAATGTGTTTGATGATCTGAAACATGTAAGCATGACAAATACACAAAAACTAAGAAATCAGGAATGATGTAAGTAAGTAAGTTTCCGTGTTTCATGAACGCCCCTGCAGCTTCAGAGTGAGGGTCTGACCTCTATGTGGTTAAAAGAGCCTCGTCCATCTCAAGAGAGTCATGAATAAGCCATGTGACAGCCAGGGCCCTATCAGGGATGAGTCTTCACATCAGGGAAAAATAACACCAAAGTGAAACTAAAATACTGTGGAACAAGCTGGATAGTTCACTCATTACAATAAACAGTGAAGGAACGTTTTACTTAACCATCCTTTAAGATTTAGTAGCTAAACCTTTAATAATAAATCCCTATGGAAGACTGTCACCAATAACAATGTAAGCATAATTATGACTTATTATCTCTTAATTACAAGTTAATATCTCACAGGTTTGATGGAAATTCTCATAGCAATCATTTAGTGTCTCATAAGAGATGACTTTAGTATGATAATGAACTTTATTGTCATACTCATGAATGTCTTTCTTTTGATATTTGGACCTCATATACTTATAAGAAGCGATGCCTTCATCATATCTTAAAATTAGGATTTAGCATCTTCTAATTAATAATTAACAATGACTTAATGCCTCATATCAGACAATAATGAGCCTAAATAGCATAATTATGACTTGCTCACTCTTTTTTTAATTTGTATCCAGCGATGTAATACAAATGCTCAAGGTTATGACTTAATGTGTCATTATTGTCATATTTTTGTCATAATATAAAAACGTTATTAAAGTATCATAACAACAAGTTTCACTTGTATTATTAGTTCATTTGTGGCCAGTTTCTGAGCGTGCTGCCAGATAAAGACTCCAACACCACACATGTAACTGCAAATTAAAGAGCTGTTTATGTAATAACAACATAAATATCAGTCAGACTGAGGATATAACAGGTTTTTATAAACATGTAGTTGCTTTATTTTGCCTTTGGGGGCAGCACTGAGTCTCTGTTGCTGTATGTCCCTGCAGGTGATGGAAGAAGTGTGAGAACATCTAAAAAAACTCCCATCATTGACAACCGGTCAGTGCCAACCCACATAAAACACACTCTCACACACATATACTGTGCTGCTGCTGACAGGCAGTGGGGAGAGGCGGAGATGCTGGTGCTGCTCCAGGTCATGTACACCGACCTGGACTTCCTGACGGATTTCCACATGGAGCTGCAGAATTTCCTGTTTGAGAAGTACTGTCTCTGTGTCACCCAGATGGCTGGAAAACCAGGAGGGAAACACCTTTACCTCAGAAACATAAACATCAATTAAATTCAGGAGAAGTTGGTGTTTTTATATAAAAACTGCTGTTGGTGCGTCTGTGGACTAAAATCAAACACATAAAAAAGCCTGAAATGGAAATAATATTGCAGTTATGTATCTTTTAAAGTGTAGCTTTGTGTAGGGCTATTACTGACAAACACAGCTGATGTCCACATCATGGACCACATACAGGAAGTTCAAAGGAAGTCTACACGGTCAGGTTTATAAACATGGCGGTCTTAACATCGGGATGTGTCTCCCTGTGGTTAATGTGGATTTATCTCAAATGCAATGCTCAGACCATCTTGGCTCTGGAGAACCAGCGCTGTGCTGTCACCTCTGTCCGCGGTACAACAAAAGCACGAGTTCAGCTGTTCATAGCTACAGAGAAAACACGTTTTAACTGTGAATAGTAATGACACAAGGTAAAAGCAGCAGCTTTAAGTTTGGCTCTAATAAACTGCACCATGTTAATCTTACTGCTTTGATGCAGAAGCAGTTTTGTGCAAATCAAAAAGTTGGTATTGAAACACCGAATGAAACGGTTAACATGTAAAGATATTAATGTGCTCAGACAGTTCTGTTTGCATAAGAGATAATTAAAGATAATAAAAGCAAGATCCAAATGAAAAAAACAAGCAAACAGAAAAACTCTAACACAGTGCAGAGGAAGAGTTTTTATTACAGAGTTGGAGATGGAGATAGCCACCAAAGAGGAGGAAGTGTCCAGTCCACAAATTGTTGACTCTTTCTTGAAAGATTACTGGCTGTGTTACATCAGAAAGCTTAATAAATACAAATGTGTGGTGTTAATCTTACAGTTTTTATGGCGTTGTTTGGATTCAGGCTGCTTTTAATGTTTGATGATCTTTAAGAAAGGAGTTAATGCTTCTCACTTCAGAGCAGACTGTCTGTTTTGATCGATTGTATCTATTTTGTAAGGTCACAGAGGGGCTGGAGCGTATCCCACGGCGACAGGTGAAGTCAGAGAAATAACCACACTTAAATTAGGTGAAGCTAATGTGGACGTGTTTGGACTGTGGCAGGAAACAGACAGGCTTGTCAGGAGGTCTGAACGACCAGCGCCATCTGGTGGACTAATCCAGTTCATTTAAACAGATGCTTTACTGATCCCCCTGATGTGAAACAGTGAGTAAATATTTTTAATATTTTTAAAAAAATGGATCCAGCTTTGATTAAATTACTGTTGATTCTGTGTGATTAGAGTTTTTAAAAGCTTCTAAGTAAAAAATAAATAAAAAAGGGAAGGAGGACTCAGAGTCGAGTTTATTCTGAGGTTAAGTTCAAAGTTTTCGTTTGTTCTTCAGTCCTTTTATTTCCAAAGCCCACAAACAAAAGTGCAGATGTGTGATTTCTACCTCATAACCACCCACCATTCAAATAAAACGTGGAGTTGATGTTATCCTGTCTGAAACGCACTAACTTAACAAACACTAAACGTTCAGTATTTACAGCACAGAGAGCTTTCCGGTACATTCTGTTGGCATTTGTCAAAGAAAACACTAAACGGACGAGTTTCCCTCAAAGGTTCTCGTCTGTGTGGAGTGTCAGCAGCACCCGTGTCTTTCCACACCAACACAAACACAACGAGCACTGAGCGCGCTCAGATCAGCTTTAAAATGACCTTCGTGGACACATTATCACATCCTCACATGGTAACAGTTAGTTAATGTCAGTTTACATAACGGGAGCTCACAGTACCTTAAAGTGTTAAAGCAGCATCAGACTGGTGGGTATGAAACCGCTGCTGTAAAGGCTCACACACGCAGACACACTCTGACTTAGCTTCTCTTAGATGATTCACTAGAGTGAAAAGCAAAGCGTCGCTCACATGGCCTTTAATTATGAGTGACTTGGCAACATTTTCCCTTTGCTTTGTCTTTAAATCCAGTTTGTGATTAAAAGAAAGAGCTCGATTAGCTTATTTGAACTAGAACTAGGGCCTGTGAGTATGTGTGGGAGCCTTTAGAGCAACTAAAGCAGGTTTCATATTGTTAAATAGGAACTTAGAGGAGGAAACGAAGCTCCTTCCATCGCCTCCTCGTGCAGCTCTGGACCGCTTCCAGCACCACTGATATTTGGACACAGCTCGCTAAAAGTCCTTTAGTGACTATCTTCTCTTTAAACGAGTCAAAACAAACAGCTTCAACACTGAATAAACAAATAACACGTCAGATGTCTTCAAACCATCTCCTCAACAAGGAGAAGAAAAGAGTCTTTTCAGCTGCTTTAGGGGTAAAATCTGCTGCAGCCGCCGTCTCTCCTGCAGATTACAGCTTTGATCATTAATATCAAATATAAATGTAGTACCAAAGAAATAATGTGGATTAAATGCCTCAGCAGCAAATAAAATGATGGAAATGAGCTTTCTTCCCCTCCTGCAGTGCAGGAAAGAAACACTCTGAGCTGCCTGCTCTGGGAGCTGTTCTAATGGACGCTGTTTGCTTTTTAAGTTTTCTGGTTTGGTGTTAAATCTTTGTGCAATCAGGTCAAACATGACAACCACAGAGCATTTTAACTTGTTACCCACTGAAATTCAACCATGATGAAGCCTTTAGCTCTTCTCTGATCTGATAAACTCGTGAAAACCCCAAAACTATTCTAAAGGCCATCAAACCACAACTTTATGGATATGTACCGAGGTCAAAGCTGGTCATTCAGGGTCCAGGGGAGGTCGTCTCTATGAGGAAAACAGCTGAGATGACTGGAAGCGGTTCAGAGGTGCACACCCATCCTCTAAGATCAGGGTTGCTTTTTGATTTTCATGGGTGGAGTTTAGTTGGAGAGCTTTGTGATTTCCTCTCTGTGCAAAGAATCTGATTGGCTGGTAATTAGAAGAACAACCAATGCTACAGTAAAACAAACAAACAAACAAGGTTTAGTGTTTGAGGGAGCTGGCATGTCCACCAGACGCATGAACACAGGCAGGAGTAATATATAAATATGGCAGCAACACGTACAACAAAAAAAGACAAAGTGCAACAAAGTCCTCAACTTCAAATAAAATCAGCTCCAGATGTGTGTGACCCTCACAGCTGGTCCCATTTCACCTCCAGATTTAAAGATACACATGATCATTTTCCAGTTATGACTGAATATCATCTCATTCAGAAGTGTGTGTGTTTCATAGATACTTGTAGTGCATTTTCTTAACCGATAAAGTTGAATTTGGATTCAAAGAAGAGCTAAACTTTCTAAATATGTTGACGTTTCGGGCCTGAAGATCACTCAACATGTCTGGATCTGGATATTTGGGGAATAGCACTTCACCAAATATGTTAAATATGTTAAAACTTTATAAATCTTTATAAAGTCTGAGTGTTTTAGGGTTAAATATACACATCTAACACACAGAGCCGTTTGAGCTCTAAAAGAGAGGAAAGCTAGGCAGAATAAAGACACCCTTCTGAATGAGATCATCTCTAAAACCTACACCATGAATCAATAAAAACAATCATCACGGAGCCTCAGAGGTCCAAATTTCATTTAAATATGATCAGAGATGATCGTTAACCCTGCGATTCACTCCATACACACAAACACTGCCCTGAAGTCGCAGTTTCCCTTCATCTGAATCTCTAAACTGAACGAGCAGCAGCAAATGAACGACGTTAAGGTGGATTCACTATGTTTTAAAGCCTTCCTGCCATTGAGGGAGGTGGGAGGGGCTTTTCACAGGTAGCAGAGCAGCGTGGCGTCATCTTTCCAGTTTGACATATTTACACCATCAGGGCAGTAAACCCGTCTCTCACGCTAGTTGAACATGATGGACTCTGGATCCTGGTTCATCATCTGGGCCATGTGACGCAAAACGTCCTTCTTGGTGATGATGCCCAGGAGACGCCTGCAGAGGAGGGATGCAAACAAAGGTCAGAGGCCGTTGCCCATGTGATGAGTAAAGGAAGAATGTGCAGATTAGAGGAGACAAACTGAAACTGCAACCAGATCAGCTTGACAGCCACTCTGATCACACAGATCAATCAACTACAGGAGAAAGTTGAGTCTAAGACCCAGCTTCCTTTGCTGTTGCTGTTCCTGGCAGAAACAGCAAAGCATGGACACTGCGGGCTGGATCACAAAGTGTCCTGACCTCTAAACACCAGCTGACCTCTCATATAAGTGAGTAAACACTAGGGATGGGTATCAAAACCCGGTTCTTGTTGAGAACCGGTTCCCACTGTTTCAATTCCTTGGAATTGTTTGCCATTTTTGCAAACGATTCCCTTATCGATTCCAGTCGCCCCGAATGACGTCACCTGTTGCGGAGCGTCATTTACCTGGCAGGAAACACGGTGCCTAAGTGGCTCAAACGCTCAAAAGTTTGGTCATACTTTACGAGAACGGATGACAACAGGGCAACTTGCAATACTTGCAAAGTAGATATTTCATTTACGGGAGGAAACACTACGAATATGCAAAAGCATTTGCTCACAAAACACACGATAACCTTAAATGAATGTCGTGTTTTTAATTCTGGACTCGTGAATCTCAACCCAGCAGCAGCGGTAATGTTTGCACGTCCTCTCCCGTTAATGCGGCAGTGCATTAACTAACAGTGCATATTATGTTAGCGCGATCTGCCTTATTACAAAACCTGCCATTACTGTGCATTTAGGTGACCATGATGAGAGAGACAGAGTGTGTTTGGCTCAGATGCTGGCAGTTGTCGCTGCAGTCTACCGGTAGCGTCTCCTTTCAGGCCAGGATAGACGAATGTCACCGAGCAGTGACTAAGTTTGTGGTCAAAGGCTTGCACCCATTTGCCACAGCAGATGCCCCGATTTTCAGTAATGTGTTTAATTGTAGGCAGGGACATTACTGGATATTCTTGTGTAATTGCTACAGAATAATTTATGTTATACTTTGTTATTGCTACAGAAGAATATTTATTTTATTATTTTACATTTACAATTTTTTTTCCTGGGGACCCTGTGACACCACATTGAAGAGTCGTAGGCTGTGGATCTCTTAAGATCTCACTGTTGGGTTTGTAAGGCCATGTTACTCCTAAATTTCTATCTTGTTCAAAGAGAAGATATAAAACAAAGTTCTAAGCTAATCGACCTTAGTGTTCTCCTTTTTTTAAAAAGAATCAATAAAGAATCGAATCGTTAAACAGAATCGAAAATGGAACCGGAATCGTGAAAATCTTATCAATACCCATCCCTAGTAAACACTGAATACATTTGGGTTTATTTAAATGTTGGTTATAGGAGACCTATTTTCATTTTTATTTTTTTTAAATAAGTAACAGAGGTAATAAAGATGTAATAACGATTAAAGAAGTCATAAATTAATTGGTTTTAGGAGTTTTAACAATTATTTATGTCACTTTGCTTCATACCTATTAAGACAAATGATCTCATTGAGTCACTAGAGGGAGCCGTTTGACCTTAAAATAACCTAATGAAAAAGCTGCTGATCTCTTTGATCTAAGCTAAGCCGGCTGCTGCAGAAATATGACCTTAAAAACTTCAGCCCAGCTTCACCTTCCTCATCTTTTTTTTTTAAACTGTATATTTAGAAAAAGACTGGCACATAGAACAGAAAACACTGCACCGAACACCCGATCTCTATTATTCTAGATAAAGCCCTGAAATACTGGCTGCTCTTACCAACAGAGCAGCCAATGACATCAGAGGTGAGCAGGAAACATGAAGCTGCTGCTTCTCTGTTTCCTGCAGACTGGAGCGAATCCTTCTCTGACATTTTAAAGGAATGATACAGATCAGCTTCTGAGCTACAAACGGTTTCAGGGTTTTTACTGATGAACGTCACTGCTAAAGTCAAGGTATTCACAGTATTTTTGGTGGCAGGACAACTGCAAATGATCCAGTTTGTCACCAACAAAGTGAAACTATGTTTTCAGGACTTTGTAGGTGCATGAAATCTGACCCCGTTTCAACCCTCTAGCAGATCATTACATGAAGGCACCTTTTGAATACAAGCGCGCTCATGCTCACAGGTGTACACACGGGTGCTCACACACACAAACTACACCCTTTTTGGCTCCTACCTCAAAGCACACTGTGCACTGTCGATCTTATGTGCTGCACAATAATATTCAATATTTAGTATTTGCTGTTATCTTCACATAGATCATCACGATGATGTTGTTTATTATATTGCTCTCTTTTTTTGCTTGTTTTCTTTTTTCTTTCTCAACAGGTGATCCAGGTGACTGATATATGTATTTTTTGTCTGTTTGTTTTTGGTTTTTGCCTTTTATCACCGTTCCTCTTCCCCGCTGTTTTTCTTTCCCCCAGTCATGTCTGTCCCGTGTGTAGCAAGTGAAAATAAAATAAAATAAACAATAAAAACAAAGGTCAATCAAACAGACCAATACGGCAAGGCCAGGATGGTCCATTTGGTAAAGTAAATGCATTGGGCATCTTTCTTTGCCTTTAGACAATAATTCTGATGGCAAAAGAACATAAATGGGACAGGAGAAAAAAAAAAGAAAAAAGAGAATTTTCAACCGTTTCCATATTTCAGGCTGTAACAGCAGATGGCATTTGGCGTGCTCTTACCCGCTCCTGGTGACCAGACACTGGCGCAGACCAAGCTTGCGGAAGATGTCCACCACGGTCTCCATGGGCGTGTGGTCGGTGACGGTGAATGGGCTGAGGTTGAGGATGCGTCGCAGCTTAAGCGGCTGTGGGTTGCTCGCCGGCAGCTGCGGTGCGTCCTCGGTGAAGTAGACCACTGAGCTGCTCACCACGCCGTCCTGCTTCTGACGGGCGTTCTCTGTGGATGGATCGAGGGGAGGAGTCAGTGGAAACCTTTCGATCGGATTCACTAAAGACTAACGTGCATTTGCGGTTGACTTACTGATGGCGAGCGTGAGGTCTCTGCGCTGGACGAAGCCGATGAGCCTCTCTGACTCTCTGGACACGACCACGGGGAAACCGTTGTAGTCCGTGTCTTTGATCAGCGTCTCCACATCCTCTACTGTCGTGGAGTCCTGCGTGAGGACAGCCAGTGGCGGGTCGTTCCTGCGGGGACGCATCACGTCGGTGGCGAGCGTGCGGTGGGTGAACTCGTCCCGCACGTCCAGGTACGGGTAGCCGTTTAGCAGGATGTGTGACTCGTAGATGCCCTCCTTACCGAATGCATCTGCCACCCACTTGCTGGTGACAGCGGCGGCCATCAGGGGGACGATGTACTCCAAGCCGCCGGTGAGCTCAAACATGATGACCACCAGCGAGACGGTCATCCTCGTTACACCGCCTGAAGCAACACAAGCACAGCTGCTTCATCACAGGAGGAGACTTAATTCAACCATTGACAGTGTGAGAAGTTTCTGCTGTTTACCAGGGGCAGCCAATCAGAACAAAGCTTGGGTTAAAAGGGGAGGAGCTAAAACAGCTTGTTTCAGGCAGGCCTGACACAAGGCCTCATCATGTCTACATCTTAAAGCTTCTAATGGGTGAACGGTGCACTCACCCAGGCAGGCGGCGGCTCCCACCATGGCGTACAGTCCTGGCGTGACGCAGTCGGCGCCGGGCCGGCACCAGTTCTTGAAGATGATCCAGTCGTGGTGATGGTAGGCCATCTGCTCCACGGCGATCCCGACGATCCGCCCGGCGATGGCCCCGACCGCCATGCTGGGGATGAAGAGACCCGAGGGGATCTGAGGAGGAAAGAGATCCGCTCAGAGAAACAGAAACAGGAAACAAACACCGACTTCCAGCCCATCGTCTTCCTCACACTGACCTTCATGCCGAAGGTGAAGATGGTGATAACGATCTTGAAGATGAGTGCGAGGGTGAGCTGCCACAGGGCGTTGTAGACACCAGGTCCCGCCGGGCGGTCCGGGATGTCGTCCACCGGCCGGCTCATGTTGGGGTTGTTGACGTAATCGCAGAGCTGCGATGACTCGAGCGCGCCACAGTCATTGAAGAGCTCTGAGATAAGCTCGCTGGTGCTGCGGCGGGTGTATGGGTTGGGGTAAGCCAGAAGGGCAGTGATCCCCGTCACGGCGATCACCTCCAAGACCGGGTACTTCCCCAGCTGTGTGGTCTTCCTCCGCCGGCACCAGGCGATGTTGGCCCGGATGAAGAGAGTCCCCCAGAGGCCGCCGAAGACGCCAAGCAGGATAAAGGGCACCAGCTCGGCCATGTACCACGGCGTGTGGTACTCCACATAGAAGAGCACCAGGCGGCTGTTTCCAAATGGGTTGATAGAGCGCAGCGTGAAGGCTGCGACCAGTGCGGCGAAGAAGGAGCGCCACAGAGTCTTCAGAGGGAAGTAGTAGCTGACCTGCAGGAGGAAGCACAGGACATCATTAGGAGAGAGGAGGAGGAGCTACAGATACTCTGTGTCCGGTCTGATAGCCGACCTCTTCCAGGCTGAACAGGACTCCTCCGATGGGCGCGCCGAACGCCACCGACACTCCAGCTGCCGCTGCCGCCGACAGCACCTGCAGGAGGCAGACACACATACATCTATGTGACTTTTCCTTCATCGAGGGGAGAGCGTGCACACTGTGAGGAAATCTTACTGCCCTTAAAAGGTCAAAGGTTAGGAGTGTTTTTTCCGCAGCATACCTCTCGCCTCTTGCCCTCGTTCTTGCTGTACTTGGAGAAAAGGCTGCAGAAGAGGTTTCCGCAGCAACACGCCACATGGACCAGAGGACCCTCCTTCCCCAGGCTCAGGCCCGATGACACGGCCAGCACCAGCGTGACTGTCTTGATCAGCAGGGTCCACTTCCCCAGGTAGCCCCGGATGATGAAGCCGCTGAGGATCGTCTTGATCTGCACAAAACATGCAAACAGACGGAGACATGTGAGAGCGAACGCACGGCTGAAAGCGCAATCAGACTCCATTTAAAAAGTCCCACAGGAAAACTGTTAAAAACCATCTGTGTCATGGCTTCAGTTCCTGTATCTGCATGGGGGTGTGGCCTAATGCCACCTGCTGCAAGTAACACACTTCATTAGAAGCCTGCTCAAATGAACTGAGCCAACTCCAACTGATTGAATTTGTTTATCCAGTGAAAAAGTTTGTTACCTCCGGGATTCCCGACCCGCAGGCATACGGAGCGAACACTCGCACCAGCGACACCGCCAGGAAGGAGAAGAGCAGAGCCCATAGGATGTACAGGAAGTAGTTCAGCACGTACGCTCCGGCTCCCTGAGAGAACACAGAGTTAGCTCATCACTCTGTCCACTCATTGAAGAAACACACACAACCACTAAAAGCGGGCAACTCAACCTCGGCGTGGCCTGTCATCAGCTCCGCCCACTTCTGCCACTGTGGGCACTTGTCCCGGTCGTCAAACGTGGTCTCGTTGGAGGTCCAGCAGCACTGCTCATGGCTGTACCAGAACGCCGAGAGGCACACACCCTCCTTCAGGTCCGTCATCCAGTCCACGGCGAGGTCGATCACGCCGGCCAGCGTCCCTGTGGAGGAGAAGGGGAGGAGTCATTCCACCTCAGAGACACCTTCATCACTCTCAGATTGCTCCTGTTTCTCTTCCGGTGTCGCTCGGACATCCAGAGAGATGTCTGCAGCTTCAACAACAGAGTAAGAAACAGAAATAAAGGTAAAAAGGAAGCTAGATAGATGAAGCCTGGGAACTTTAAGCCCAGCAGCACGAAGAGGAGGAGGAGATCAGAGACACGGCGAGCCTGACCTGAGAGGAGCCCGATGAGCAGCATCACCACCCATCCCGACCAGGCGTCCAGCAGGCTCTTAATCAGCTCCCAGAGGGACTCTTTGCTCTTGCTGGTGATCTGCAGAAACACAGGATCAACTTACAGGTTCACTGTGTGGATTTCAAATAAAAGCTCACGCGTCATGTGTCACGCCTCACAATGAGGAGGGAGAGGAATAGATGAAGCACACACCTTACGGTGGCGGTCTGTGTCCCTGGATTTCTCTCTCAGCCAGTCAATGGTGTGGAAGTCCTCGTACGTGCTCACATCGGGGAAAGGCTCATCCAGGAAGTCCATCAGGTTCCCGGCACCATTCATCTCCTCCGTGGGCGTGGCGGCACTCACACCTGGAAGAAAGTGAGGACGTCATCAGTGTTAATTTGATTTGTAAACACTCACTGTTTATTTAACGTTAATGTCCATGCTCATCGGTTTAATGAGATTTCACCTGCTCAACACATTCATATAAATAAGAATAAAAGCTTAAATTAAAGATCCACGTGTTTTTAATAATATGCATTTCTGTTTATACTGAGGAGGAGGAGCCGGGTGCTGTCAGCCTTTACTGAATTCAAAGATCCCGATGAGTTAAAAGGAGGGGAGGAAACATTTCACCTGCCTCATATCACAGGATGAGGGCAGATCTCCTCACTTTTACCTGAAGAACAACAACTATCTCCTCTGACATGAATGCAATCACCACCGAGAGTCTCCACTGTGTTTGTCAGACTTCGCACCTGAAATGATCCAGCAGCACAAACAGCACTGCGGAGCCTTTATTTACGTTAGCTCGTGAAGCTAACCAGGCTAACTCAGCATCATTTCACTGGCTGTTGTTGTTGTTTACCTTCAGCGACCTCCATGTTGCTCCGTGTTCACCGCTGCGGGTCTAAAATAAAATCTCTTCAATTATTAACTGATACGTTGTCAAATAAAAATGTCATTTTAGTAAAATTCAGCGAGGGAAAAATAAATAAAAGCCTACAGGAGCGTCGCAGAAGGCTCCCTGCAACCTGCCAGTATCGCGATACTTCGGGATCGCGCTTTGCTTGGACCACCTCAAAGCTCGTCGTGTTTCAGGTGTTTGGAGTCTTTTCTGCCCTCTGGTGGCCACGCGTGGGAATTACAAGAAAGAGTAAAGTTTGAAAAATTACAAACCAGTCAAAGTCAAATGTATTTACATAGCACATTTAAAACAAGAACCGTTGACCAAGGTGGTGTACAATTAAGATAATTGAGAGAAATAAAAACAAAGGGAGACATGATAAGAGTTAAGAAAAAGAATCGTAAAATTAGAAGGTTTGAGTAAGAAATAAGATAAATAAAAGTAATACAAGCTCATTCTGATTTAAAAGTCAAGGATTAAAACTGGGTTTTCAGACGGGTTTTAAAAGTGTCCAATGTCCAATGACTAAAATTCACAGCTGACTACATGGACAAGCTAAATGTCTTCTGGAGAATTTTTTATGGTCAGCTCAGACAAAGATGGAATTATTCGGACACAATGATGAGTATGTTTGGGTGAGAAAAGTCAATTGGACCTAAGAACTGTCATAAATCATGCTCTGGGGCTGATTTGCTGTGAAATTCTTTGAAAATGTGTGGGTTAAGTCCATATCAGGAAACTCTTGGCATTTGCATTTCTACCAAAGAGAGTCTCTGCAAATATCTAGCCAGAGTTCAAAAGCTTGCTGATCAAAAGGAAACTTGCCAAAAGAGACATTTATTAGTGGCGTGCATGTTTATATTTGAGCCTGTATGTAACTTGACTACGTTTAGAGAAAAACCTAAATAAGTTCAAAGTTGTGCACCCAATTCTTATTTTTTTTAAAGTCAGTAAAGATGCATGATGTGCAGTTTACCCCACCCTGAAAAAAAAGCAGTTACAACACCAGTTTAAAGATATTTACAACATTACAGTGAGCTTCACTTCCAATTGAATGTTTACTGGTAAACAATGTCTCTCACCTGCTGAAAGAGGTGGGGGAAAACCTGAAGGATGAGAAATTCAGTGTCAGAATTCAGAAATGAAAGTGAGAGATACACCAGAGCAAAAATCTATTTCTCTTTAAAAGAACCTAAAACTTTACTCACTGAGTCTTTTGCTACAACACAGCAGGGCTTCTGTCCAACACAGCTTATACAGGTGACCATGATCAGGCTGTTTTAAATGTCTACATTTAAACTCTCCTCTTTCACAGTTTAGGAATCAAACATCAAATACAAAAACAACCCTACACCCACTTCTGTGACAAACATGAGTTTTCTTATTTGGACAACTCTTTGGTAATGTTGAGCTGTGATTGGCTGAAAAGTGATAAACTTTGTTGTTTCTTTGGTTGTTGAACCATGTGGGAACCGATACAGTGTATTGTAAATTATTAGAATTAAATAAACCATTAAAATAAATGTAGTAAGATGTGACACAAAACTCTAGATGGATGACATTCCACTGATGAAAGTTGGATGATACTGAAGGATGAAACTAAAAGCATGTGTAACAATAGAAATTCACTTGAGCGGAATCAGTTTCTTTTCAAAGGAACATTAAACTGAGCTCACTGATCCTTTCATATCAGCACAGCAGAGCTTCTCTCCAACACTGGTGAGTACAGATGATCATGATTGAACTGTTTAAAAGTCTAAATGTGGATCATCCTCCAGAGACAATGAAGTTTACAATTAAATCTCTAATCTCAGGGTCAACTGGATCCATCAGGTTTTCCTCAACAACACAGCAGAGTCTTTACAAACATTGGTAAGTGAACTCATGACACTCACTTTCACAGCAACTTGTTCATTCACATTGTTTTAAATTTTAAAGGGTGAGAATTTCTTTGACTTGTATTGTAAAGACACATACGTTGTGGACTTTTTGGTCAGAATTTCTGACATGGGTGGTATCTTGGTGATGGGATCCAATGGTTGGCCAGACGTCTATTTTGCTTAGAGGGCCTTCTCATGTGGACCTCCCTAACTACCAACATGCAAGATGTTGTAGTGAGGAAACAGTAATCTTATCTTTGACAGCAGATGATTTATGTTAGTGGGTAACCCAGTAAAGACTTTAATGGGGAAAGACCAGTAGAGAGAGCAGTGGAAGTCATGTGTGTATTTGATCAGGACAGTTTGAAGCTCAGGAGGACTGGTTAAAGGAGGCAAAACACCAAAGGGCAGCTTATACCTCTTGGTTAGCTTTCTCCATTGCCCGGTGGTCTGGGGGTAGAAATCAGAAGAGAGACTAACTTGAGCTCTCAGGGGCATTCACACTGATGACATTCAACATCATCCCTTCGATTTCTATCTTCAAACAGATCTAAGACTAAAAGAACAGTGTGATACTTTTTATTTAGAGCAGTGTGACATGTGAACTTTGGGATCACAGGGATTAATTTCACATACACTGACTTTTATTATTTCAAACTTTCATCATGTTTATCTTGACTATCCAGCACTGGAAAAGGAGACATAGGACAGAAAGGAAGAAAAAGCAGAACAAGTCTAAATATGATTAAAACTGAATTTAAAATAAAATCATTTTCTCTTCTTTCTCACTCAGAGTGCAGACATGTCTGCTGCCAGCTGTCTTCTATCTGAAGATCAGTTTCTGTGCTCCATCTGTCTGGATGTCTTCACTGATCCAGTCTCCACACCATGTGGACACAACTTCTGCAAAAACTGCATCAGTCGACACTGGGATATCAGTGAGAGGTGTCAGTGTCCTTTGTGTAAAAAGATCTTTCAGACCAGACCTGAGCTGCACGTCAACAGTTTCATCTCTGACATGGTTTCTCAGTTCAGACATGAAGCTCAGCAGAAAGTCAGCAGCAGCAGCTCAGAGCAACAAGCTGCCAAACCAGGAGAAGTTCCCTGTGACATCTGCACTGGAACCAAACTGAAGGCTCTGAAGTCCTGCCTGGTGTGTCTGGCCTCCTACTGTCAGACTCACCTGGAGCCTCACCTGACAGCTTCACGGCTGAAAAGACATCAGCTGATCAATCCTGAGGAGAACCTGGAAGGAAGGATGTGTATGATGCATGATAAACCTCTGGAGCTGTTCTGTAAGACCGATCAGACATGTGTCTGTATGCTCTGCTGTGTTTTTGACCACAATACTCATGAGTTTGTTCCTCTGAGAGAAGAATATGAAGTAAAGAAAGCAGAATTGGGGAAGACTGAGGCTGAAATTCAACAGATGATCATGAAGAGACGAATGAAGATTCAGGAGATCAAAGAGTCAGTGAAGATGAGCAAAGATGCTGCAAACAGAGAGAAAGCAGAAGGTGTTCAGGTCTTCACTGCTCTGAAGAAGTCTGTTGACAAACACCTGAATGAGCTCATAAAGGAGATTGAAGATAAACAGGAAACAACAGAGAAACAGGCTGAAAGTTTCATCAAAGATCTGGAACAGGAAATCTCTGAGCTGATGAAGAGAAGCTCTGAGGTGGAGCAGCTCTCACGCTCTAAAGATCACCTCCACCTCCTCCAAAGCTTCTCATCCCTGAAAGCTGCTCCAGCCACCAAAGACTGGACAGAGGTCAGTATCCATCCACCATCATATGAGGGGACTGTGGTGAGAGCTGTGGTGAGAGCTGTGGATCAGCTGAAGGAGACACTCAGTAAAGACATGAAGAAGCTGTTTGAGGCTGAACTGAAGAGGGTCCAGCAGTATGCAGTGGATGTGACTCTCGATCCTGATACAGCACATCCTTATCTCATCCTGTCTGATGATGGAAAGCAAGTACACTGTGGTCAAGAGGAGAATGATCTTCCAGACAACCCAGAGAGATTTTCTGAATTTCCCATTGTTTTAGGAAAGCAGAGTTTATCTTCAGGCAGATTTTACTTTGAGGTTCAGGTTAACGACAAGACTGAATGGGCTTTAGGAGTGGCCAGAGAGTCAGTCAACAGGAAGGAAGTCATGACATTGAGTCCTAAAAATGGTTACTGGATTGTAGGAGTATGTGAAAATATTTGTGTAGCAGTTGATGACCTTCCAGTCCATCTCCCTCTTCAGTCTGGTCCTCAGAAGGTGGGGGTGTTTGTGGATTATGAGGAGGGTCTGGTCTCCTTTCATGATGTAGATGATGTAGATGTGATATATTCCTTTTCTGGCTTCTCCTTCACTGAGAAACTCTACCCATTCTTCTGTCCCGGCAGTAATGATGGTGGTAAAAACTCTGATCCTCTGATCATCTGTCCTGTCAATCAGTGAGTCTGATCTTTTTCCATGAGGAAATTGGAATAAATACAGATTAATCTTAACATTTAAGCTGACAGAGAAGAAGTCCTAAAAACATAACTGAGCAAACTGCACCTGCTAATGAAGAAGCTGCAAAACAAGCCAGTAAACTGAACTTTAGCTGATTTTTCCCATTTGTCTGAGGAAGTCCACTGTGACAAAGAAGAAACTCTAGTCGTCTTTTCTTGCATTGTATGGCAAAGGCACAGACATTAAATTATATACTGTACACAGAAATGAGTACAAATGTTAATATTTTATTATTTTTACTTATCTGTTGTTAACTATCAAAATATGGCGGATAAACTGTTCTGTTGTCTTAACATGTACAGTATGCTTATTCAGAATGAAAGAATTAAAATCCGAACGTACCATCTTTTTTGATCTTTTCTTTGATGACAATCAGCTGCTGAGCTTCAGCCTTCTTACCTCTGAGGTGATCACAGAATGAGCGGCTGTAAACCTTTAGAAAGACCCACATTTGCATCAGTAAAATTATTAATAACATGCAAGTGTTAAATACATCTTTCAGATGATTTTTAAACATTTTTGGAGCCCTGAGATATTTGATTTAAAAAAAGACACCCCACTGACATTCATTCATTACTTGTGCACATGTTAAGTTGTGGTTGTGGTATTTAAACATTTTATTAAGGTGGCACGGTAACAGAGCAGTTAATGCTGGGGAGAGTCCTCCTGAATAACTCACTCTCCAGATCCAGCAACTAGTTGAACTAGTTTTTCAGCGTCACTAAGAGACAGGATATTTC